ACCTCGGCTGCGACGCCTGTACGGAGGCGGTCTCGGAACGGTCTCGGAACGGTGAGGTCTCGAACGGTCCTGAACGGTCTCTGGAACGGTCTCGGAACGGTCTCGGAACGGGTTCGGAACGGGTTCGGAACGGGTTCGGAGACGGGCCCTTTGGCACGGCCGCGCGAAGGTTTCGCAAGGTTTGAATTGCGTGGCAGGCGCAGCACTTTCGCAAGGTCAAGTATAGATTTCGTGGCAGGCGCAGCACTTTCGCAAGGTCAAGTATCGATTTCGTGGCAGGCGCAGCACTTTCGCAAGGTGCTGCGTCCACTCTCTGCGAGCTGGGGGATGGCAAGATGCAGAAAACGTTGGCGCTGTGCGTGAATTGGGCTTCCGGACTGTGCGCAAACCACCTCGGCTGCGACGCCTGTACGGAGGCGGTCTCGGAACGGTCTCGGAACGGTCTCGGAACGGGTTCGGAGACGGGCCCATTGGCACGGCCGCGCGAAGGTTTCGCAAGGTTTGAATTGCGTGGCAGGCGCAGCACTTTCGCAAGGTCAAGTATAGATTTCGTGGCAGGCGTAGCACTTTTGCAAGGTCAAGTATAGATTTCGTGGCAGGCGCAGCACTTTTCGCAAGGTGCTGTATCCACACTCTGCGAACTAGGGGATAGCAAGATGCAGAAAACGTTGGCCCCGTTCGTGAATTCGGCGTTGCGACGCCTGCTCGGCAGAGGGTTCGGGGCGGTCTCGGAACGGTCTCGGCAGAGAGACGGAGAGATCGATATGTTAAAGAAAGAAAGACTTAAAGACAGAAAGACAGGAAAGACGGAAAGAAAGACTGCAGGTTAGTGTGTTCAGGAGCGCCGGACGCGTCTTGCTGAGGTGGTTCGCACTACGGCGCCGGACCGGCGACTTTGGTCTCGCTGGCGACGCTCGGCGCTTTTTTGCCGGCGGCCGAAGCGAAGAAGTTCTCTCACGAGGACGTGTGAGAGGCACCGTTCTGCACGCTGGCTCACCTGCAGACCTTGTCCGCGTACTCTGGACCGACTGGCTCTCGCGCCGCGCGCAACACCTTGCAAGTGGTGCATGTTCGCGAGGCTCCGCTTACCTACTCGGGCTCAGCAAAGCCACTCCTGTGCTTGCGCGCGGCCGCCTCACTCCCGGGCTGCCCATGCATCTACTTGTCAGACGCGAATTTGGATGACGCAGGGCAAATTACGGCAGGTGAGGATCTACCAGTCCAGTACGCGGAGCTCTTACTGCGAGTGACGGCCAAAGATCCTGTGCAGGAGTGCAACGAACAGCCCAGCCTTGAGATCAAGCGTCTTCAGGAAGACGCCATGGCAATGACTCCGTTGACTAAGTTGCCAGAGTAAAAGAGGCTTTGACCTCGCCCAGCTTTCGTGCTTAATGACGCGGTGCCGTTTCGGGCCGCGCGTTCGTGTCGGCGCGTGCCGAGCCAACATAGCTGGCCGCGAGCGCTGCAAGACACTATCCCTGCGCGCTGGCGGCGCTGCCGCGCGAGACTACGGCGCCCGACTTTGGTCTCGCTGGCGACGCTCGGCGCTTTTTTGCCGGCGGCCGAAGCGAAGAAGTTCTCTCACGAGGACGTGGGAGGCACCGTTCTGCACGCTGGCTCACCTGCAGACCTTGTCCCGGGTGCCGGAAGACTCTTGGCACTACACAGGCTGCGCCACTTGCTTTCGCAAGACTTGCGACAAACACGACGAAGCTGGCGTCCGGCCGTGCTACAGCCTGGAGGCTAGTGTGGGATCACATGGCCACGCTGGACGCGAGGATCTTTACCAAGTGCGTCGCGTGCTGCGTGCTGCCTTGGCGTTTCGGCCGGGCGACGCGGTACAGTCGCGAAAGAATGCGGAGCACAGATCCGAGCCCGCAAGTGGGCTGTGCGCTTCGTCATGGCGCACGACGAAGCGTACTCTGGACCGCTCTCGCGCCGGCGCAACACCTTGCAAGTGGTGCATGTTCGCGAGGCTCCGCTTACCTACTCGGGCTCAGCAAAGCCACTCCTGTGCTTGCGCGCGGCCGCCTCACTCCCGGGCTGCCCATGCATCTACTTGTCAGACGCGAATTTGGATGACGCAGGGCAAATTACGGCAGGTGAGGATCTGCCAGTCCAGTACGCGGAGCTCTTACTGCGAGTGACGGCCAAAGATCCTGTGCAGGAGTGCAACGAAGCCGAGCGCGGAGTGCGAATCATCTTCGAGTGCGTAGATGCAGCCAGATATCCGCGCGGACCTCATGTGGGTGGTCAGCGTCAGAGACAGCTTGGCCATCGCGCGACAGCGGCCTGACACGCTGTTGCGGGTGGTTGCAAAGCCTCATGTTCTGTTCGACACGGACGGCGAGCCTTCCTTGCGTCACTGGCAGGTGATCTTCCAGTTTCCGGCTGCGGACGGAGATATCGAGCCGTTTGCCCGCCGTCGGGCGTGGCAGCTTTCCTTGGACTCCCAGCCCAGCCTTGAGATCAAGCGTCTTCAGGAAGACGCCATGGCAATGACTCCGTTGACTAAGGTTGCCAGAGTAAAAGAGGCTTTGACCTCGCCCAGCTTTCGTGCTTGATGACGCGCGTGCCGTTTCGGGCCGCGCGTTCGTGTCGGCGCGTGCCGCGTCGGGCCGCGCGCTCGCGCGGACTGCTGCACCGCTGAAGCAGACGAAGAGAAAAGCCTAGCTTTTGCGCTTGACACGCGTGCCGTTTCGGGCCGCGTGCTCCAGCCCAGACTACAGCACGGCTTGGGCAGACGCAAAGAAAGAAAAGAGAGAGAAAAAGAGAAAGAAAGAGAAAGAAAAAGAAAAAAATAAAGAAAGAGAGAATAAAAGAAAGAGAGAGAAAAAGAGAGAAAGAAAAAGAGAAAGAGAGAAAAAGAGATTCCATAACAGGAATAATTATTACTAACGGAAATGCCCGAGGTGGAAGTAATGGCTCTCCAACAGTATCTCCGGCCCCGGAAAAGACCAAATCCTGTAAACAATAAAATGACATTCAAGAAATAAAAAAAATAAAAACAAATAAAACAAGAGAAATAAAAAGAGAGAGAGAGAAAAAGAAAAAGAGAGAAAAAAAAGAAAAAGAAAGAGAAAAAGAGAAAAAGAGATAAACAAAAAAGCAAACATAAAAAAACAGAGAAGTAGAGAGAAAAAGAGAAAGAAGGAAACAAGCAAGCAAGCAAGAACAATAATAAAATTATTAAGAAGGAACAAACACCAAAAAAGCAAACGGAGCTTAAAAGGGGGGAGATGCGGCACATAACAATGCGAAAATACGTTATCTTTGCGAGCCGAGAAACGAATAATAAACACACATACATAAAGACAAGCAGAGACAAACCGAGACAAACCGAGACAAACCGAGACAAACCGAGACAAACCGAGACAAACCGAGAAACAGAGAGACACAGACAACAAATAAAGACAGAGAGCCACAAACACCAAAAAGAAACAAATTGGGATATACAGAGATACACAAAGATAAACAGAAAAACACAGAGATTACGAAAAAAGAAAGATACTAACACACGGAAGCAGACTGGGAGACACAGACAGAGACAAAGATATGGAGATACCCGGCACGAAATTGTCGACAAATTTCGATTCGGACAAATCCCCAAAATTTCCCGAAATTTGGCCCGTTTTTGTTCTTCTTCTAAAAATCGTCAAATTTTAAAGAAAATTGTGCGGGTAACATCCGGAAACCTAAGAATCGCGTCGCCGGAAACGACCTAAAATTCGAGGAAATTTGGCCGGGTTACGCCGCGGGAATTCTAGGAAAATTAATAAAAACCCCGAAATTTCGGCAAAATTTTGAGGCCTTCCGGGCCGCACAAAGAGGTAGAAGCTTGTATTACGGAGAAAAAACACCGAAACACGCATAACCGCTCGCCGCAAACTCGACGATTTGACCGGATTACCACTACAACGACTTGCAGGTGGACGAGCCTGCACGAGAAATACGACCTCAAAACAGTATAAAATTATAAATAAATATATATTTATAATAATTAAATATAAAATATATGTATATAATTATTGTATTATTAAATATTTAATTTTTTAAAACATTATTATATATAAAATAAATATAAATATAATATTATTTTATATCTTCAAACATTCATAAATAAATAAAATGTTCATTCATAAAAAAAAATGTACTTATTATTCAAATATGTTTTTATATATTTCATTTTTCCAAATATTCAAACCTCATACCTCAAATATCCTTTAACTTTTAAACACATCCATCATTTTTCATTTTTTTAATACATATATAATATTATTTTAAATCAAAATCGAATAAATTTATAATTTCATTAACAATCAATTATTCTTATCTTAATTCAATTTAATTATTATATGTTTTTAAACATATTATCAATTTATGGTTCATATTATTTCTAACTAAAATCAAAACGCCAGCTCATAAATAACAATCCATCAAAATATCACCAAACCACCTACAACAACACAAAAAACACCAACAACGCATGCCACACCACCGCCAAGACATCAGCAAAACACCACCAAGACACCACTAAGTCACCACTGAGACAGAATTAGAGGTTGTAAAAAATGCTAAACAACGTGAATGAAATTAAGATAGTTGTTACTTTAGGTATAGCTCACAATGGTGTCCATAAAATTACAATGTTGTTGTGAAAAAATGCTACGAACAACGTATGATCTTTGACCAAATGGTCCCAAATGTGGCGCTTGCCTTTTTTCCATTCGCACACTGCGCCTGTATGCTGCCAGCATGGCGAATCAAAGCCATCCTAGGAGCCAAAGGCGGAATCCAACCTGTTGAATGCATACATTGTCCGAAGCTGCCAGGAACACACATTCCATCCTGTTGTTTATTGCCACCTGCCAAAAACCAAGCGCAGTCAGCTTTGCTATCCTGGTTTTGCCAGCCTGCTTGGCAGCAACAGCTTGCGATTACCTGGGTCAATATCGTGATATCCTCAGCAACCACATGTAGCAATGTAGCCAAGAGGCATCTCAAGGCTCAATAAGCTGCAGCCATTGCCTGGGCTCGATTCGCTAGCGAGTTGCGCGAGTTACAGTCGTTGCCCCCGAAACGGCCAGGACCGCCATGCCGAATCAGCCACAAGAAACCAGTAAAATAATTCGGAGGAAACACCCTGAAGTATCTGGCCTTCTCCCCCATTTGATTTCGGGGTGGGGATATCAGGAGCCCAAGTTGCAGAAAGTGTGAAGTCGCCTCCACGTCTAGCTCCACGAACATGTCATCCTGCAAATGTTGCTGGATGCTCACAAAGCACAAGCTTGCAACTCAGGCGTGACAGTCTGATTAAAAAAAGGTTCCCCAAATAAAACCGCCACAAGAAGGTCCCTATCGGACTCTATGGGGTGCCACACGCGAAAACATGCGCCGTTGGGAGGGGGCCTGATGGGGTAGGGCCTTTTTTTGGGACTGGTACATGATTTGGCAGGCTCTTGTGCATCCTTTGAATACGTGAGGGGATTTGAAGCTCTCAAAGGCTTCAAACGTGTAAGCACACACGCACACACGGTTTGCCAAAGTGCCAGCAGCAACCAATGAGCAAAGAACCAACCGAGAAATCAATTGGAACCACCAAACAATCTGGGCAGCCCAAATGAGTTCTTGAACAGTACAGCTACTTGTACCCACACCAAACCTCTTGAAAGCTGGCGGCCACGGCTGCAACAAGGATTTGCAACAGTGAAGGCAAAGCAACCCCGCAAAGATGCGGAAGGAACATTCGTAGGCCAGCCGAATGACCGTGACAGGCAATGTCAGGTGTCCAAAACTGAGCCCTGACCCGATGGCCCGCTGGGTCCTTGTAACAATACTCCTCCAAGGATTCCACCAACTCTGGCACACGCGCCTGCGGATCGCGCCTGTACTGCGCAAAGAGGTCCTGGCGGAGAGTGGGATAGGATTCCAACCCCTCAGAAGGCCCCGGTGCCATATTTAGGCGAAAACCGTGGAGGGGGCCTAGGAGAGGGGGTGATGAAACCGATTCAAACCCCGTAGCGTGACGTTGGGCTTTCAAACTTTGGCCAGTTGTTCACCGTGGGACATCCACATAATTCACTTTGAGAGCACGGGCAACAAATGCACTCCGACTGGGATTCCGGAGCCAGCTGATTTCTTAAACTTAAACAAAATCTCTCAGCACTCTTCCTGACTGGTGTGCCTTCACTGGCGCTGCAAAAGCCACACTTGGAACCCGATTACTGGCATGCATTCCAATTGGTCAGTCCAAAAAAGACCATTCGAACATACTGAAGGCCATTCTCAACCTGCAGGTTAATGTGCGCCAATTTCAATTTTCCTACCTCAACCGCCTGTTGAACCCAAGCGAAACCTACCCCAGCTCCCACTCACCCAGTCGCCTGCATAGCAGCGCGGGCGCCGGCGAATTCTGGCTTGCACTCACCATTCAGCGCCTCGAAGCAGCGACGCACGAAGAAGGCCTTGCTGAAGAAGAAACCAAAGCGCTCCACGTACCTTCGGCGAAAGCGAACCGCAGGCGACCCTGAATTCATCAGCCTGATGCGTTACGCCAAAGATGGGGGTTCCCTATTAATCAAGGAAGGTTTGTCCATCCTGGGTTTTCATGAGATCCGAAACTTGATTGCGCTTTTTGTTAGGGAACCTGGCAGCTCGCAGTGCAGGCTTGACATGGCTTCTCAAACATATCCAAGTGCGATGTGACACCACGCAAAGAACCTGCCTAACAAGAAGCAGGCATTTGGAGGAGGTGAGGTGGCATGATTGAAATGTCATTTGTTTGATGGGGAACAGTTGTTGGGTGCCCCCCCCAAACAAAAAAAATGCCTGATCACATGCGATGCAACACACCGATCGCGCACGTGCTGCGCGCCTGGCAAGGCATCGTCTCACCTCTGGTGAGCCTGAAGGATTCACTGCCTCGCAGTCGCGCTCGATAAGTCCACACTACAGCCCAGTTGCAACCAGCGCCCCTGCGGGAAAAAGAAACGACGTTCTTTTTGCGTTGGCCATGTTTGAAAGAGGCGATTTTAATACCCCTGGTTCAACAAGGGCCCCCATGCATCTAAATTAGATCTGGCTTCGGAAAAAAAAATGTGGGTTGGGGACAAAAGGTGGTATTCTCCGGGGGCCTGCTTGGTCTGTCGAACCAGGGCTAGTAAAAAAAAAGGTTCCAGGAGCACACAAACAAACAGGGAAAGGGTGACACAGAACAACTGATTGTTCACGGGGGTAGATGTCTCCAGTACGCTCACCATTCTGAATCTTGGAATCTTGAGAGAAAAACAAATATCCCTGTGGGGTTGAAGATGGAAAATCGTGCCCTTGAAAGGGTGCTGGCGAGGCTGTCTGGAAGAAACGGGAGCCTCATTGGCAAAGCGCCCTGCAGGGGCGATCTCTGCATTCATCACCGCTCCCAGCTGCTGGGTGGGGCGGTCGAGGCCTCGCACTCCAGGTTGGTTAAACAAGTGGGATTCTGAATCCATAGCTAGCCTGCCTATCAGAACAAAAACATCACATCTCGACTCTAAAACCACATCAAGAATGAAAGAAAGCAACAACACCCGAACAGAAATCTAAATCGAAATCATACCTTCACCTTTTCCACGACATCAAACACGGCAAACAAGCAACCAGAACCTGAAGGCCTTCACCTCTTTTACCATGTTTCAACAACAGCAGAAGGCAAAACCAACCTGAAGCAGAAGCCTGCCGCTCCTCTCTCCTCTCGATCCCGTCCTCTGGGCGGTTGGTGGGGCAGGTAGCCCCCCCGCAGGTCTTTGCGGCGGATTGGGCTCGGGCTGTCGGCTTTGAGCTGCGGAATCCCCTGCCAGCGCCGGCCGAAGTTCGCGCGGAAGTGGCCCCAGGCCTCCTGAGCGATTGGGACCCACATAGTACCTGGGCATGCCTTACACTACACAAGACAGTTGTCCACTGGCATGCTGTTTTTGCTTCTCCGGGCGGGTTTCCAGGACGATTCATTTTCTCTAATCAAAAAAGCCAATCTTCAGGTCCATGTTCATCTGCAGGCCCGTTGCTGCGTCCTCTGTGAGTCCTTCCCAAAAGTCCACGACTGGCGGGGCAAAGCTATCCTGAGATCAACCACTCAGCATGCAAACACAACCTCCTGTACTTTTTGAAAGTGGAGGTGGTGCCGACCCGAACAGTTCTTGGTAGCCGCTGCTGGGACTGGCGATCTGGGTAGGCGCTGGGTGCGCCAGCACGTCTTTGCATGGGTGGGGTTTGCAAAGTACCCGCGGGGGGGGGGGGGTTTACAAAATTGGAAAGGGTACTCTTAAACACCAAAAGCCCATGGAGAGGAACACCCTTAGGCTGTGGCAAATCCAGCAAATGACGCTCCTTTCGGAAAGGAGCCTACGGGCACTTCCAAGCTGGATGGGCGACTTCCCCACTTCCCTTGCAAGCTTTCTCCCAAAACAATGCAATCGATGTAATCGTGTGCGGAAAAACAGCACTCGCTGTTTTTAAATTAGAAAGCCCTTGCGCTGCCTCAAAACGAGTATGGACATGGACCCCCCTAATTATACATTATACCCAACATGGCGAGCAAACTAAACGCGTGCATTCGGTTGGGCATGGCCAAGCAGGCAAGAACTGGCTCAGCCGCGAACCCTGAGCAAAGTTACTCTTTGCCCTGAACTGCCGCAAAGGGTTGCATACCTGTCGCATCCTGCCGCACCCCGCCCCAGAACTGCTGGCAGATCTGGTGCATGCATGAGCCGCTCGCGCTCGCAGTTTCCTTTACAAAGATCTCTTGGCTCATTCCCAAGACTCTTTGAAATTCCCCGCTAAGAACCAACAACTGTTCAAACAGGGAGAACGTTTTCCGAAGAGCAACCTGTGTGGGGAGGAATAATCAGTTTCCAACAGAGTCAACTAGTCTGCCAAAGAGCAACCCATCGCAGGGCGGTGATTGTGCAACTGTTGAAAGGTTTGTCCACGTCCTTTCTCTCTCTCTCTCTGTCTCTGTATTTCGGTTGTCCTTGTCGTCTTCCTTTTCAGGCTCCCTCTCTCCGTTTATTTTGTTGCCTCGCTCCTTGTGCTTGATTCGCTTGAATACAAACGTGGGCTATCTGGAAGCATGCTCAAGTGCTCAACCAAGGAAAGCTTGACGAGGCAAAAGGCATACCTGCCTTATCTATGTAAACCTATGGGTTCAAGCCAACTCAAATGCTGATGTTTGACTCCCCCCAAAGGGACATTGAGCTTCCATTTATGGCAGGTGTCGCTCACAAAACTGCAGAGCACTTCCCTCATCACCAAAAAGTCGAAATCAGGGCTGCAAATGCAACCATATGGCTGGACTTCAGCCCGCGCAGACTTACCTTTGGCTCGTAAGGAAAATGAAGGAAACCCAAAGTGCAAAAAAAGGCGGGCTCCTGGCAATGGCTTAGAAATTCGTCTCTCACCAACTAAAATGGAACCCACCATCCCTCTACAATGGAAACTATGGCAAGGAACCCCTAGTCGGGTTTCATGGCAACGTGGGTGGGATTCAAATGAAAACAGTTCAGTGCGAGGAAACTGCGCCCCTGGCCACAAAACCATGCCCTGCTTGCCCCAGAGCCGAGCAGCCCAGTAGACTGGCAAATGCGGAACCTGGATCGCCAGCGTGCCTTCGGATTCGGCGAAGGCACGCTGCGAAACTAGGGGGAGTTGCCTCTGCAAGTACCCCAGGCGACTCACCTGTTTGTATGGCACAAATTTAGGGGAACGGCCTGAAGGGTACAACTCTGAAATTCTTGAACAAAAAGTGCCAACACCAGGAATGAGGTGGAACGCTCAGCTTGAGGATTGAAACGAAGCTGCCACCCCCTTCACGCATACAGTACATGATGTCCTTTTTGCCGACGAAGGGAACATGTATGGGGAAGGTCGGCTGTCGGCTCCCACACATTACCTTGAGCTGATCGAAATGGAGGTGGGATCCCCATATATACCTCATCAACAATCCGGGAAACCATAACCACCTGGCAGCTGGCATAAGGATCAAGGTGATAAGGGGAGTGGAGGTACTGCGCATTTGCCCAGGTCGCTGGGGCTGGCACTACAGCTTTTGGCTGGCTCAGCTTTCCCCGCAAGCAAAACAAAAATGATTGATTCTAATTAACATTCAGCAAACGTAGAATGTAACAAATTATGAAAGGAGATCCCATGTCATCATATCATCCTTTTCCAGCTTCTCTTGGCAAAAGGTACAACGTGGTTGCCACATGATTTTGAAAGCAAAAGTGCACCTTTTTGTTTGTTTTTACCCTTTGCGGCACCCTGTTGGATCGGCTCCAACACATGGGTTCCTGAATTTCAGATGCTGTGCACATGGTCTCGTGGTGCCAGCGCTCGAATTATGTTTAAAACAAACAGCTTTCGAAGGATTGAGAAAGGAAAGGTCAACAGACCCAAATTCCCAAATTGCACTGCCCCCAAGAGGACTTCCGGCTGGCGCCAGGAGGCTGTTCAGCAGCGCCGTGTACCAATTCACCGCATGGGCGTCCACGTTGTTCTGCAGCCACTCCGGGCACCCTGGGCGGCCAGCCGTCTTGGCCCAGTAGAGGCGGTTTGGCTCGATGAAGGCCTAGGGACGTAGAATGTGCGGTAGCGCCAGGGCGAGTAGTTGGCAACTTTTTCCTTTATGTTCCGAAGCAAAGGGGGTGCCAAACTTTGAAACCTAGATGCAGAGGTCTTCGCCATCTACTGTGCACCCAACTGTAGTTCAAAAGCAAACAAGCCATGATCGTAGGAGAACAATGTGTGACAATCCTTTTGCCCCTTTGATAAACCATCGGGTCCCTCGTTCCTACAGATTTGTACGGAACATTTTGTAAGCAGGTTCCAGCTTTGCACCAAAAGACGTTTGCTACAACTCTCTAGGGCCATCCAACTAAGCGGCTCAGCTATACTGCCTAGAAGTTGAAGTTGTTGCATGCTTCTGCAATTTGCGAAGGGCTGTATGTAGATTGCATCTGTCTTGGGAAGCTGAATGAAAGCTAGCCAGCCTAACGACGACATGTCCGATCCACTGATTGCCACGATTCTAAGATATTCAGAATTTGAATAGCAATCTTGAACAAAAAAACAGAAAGTCATTGAGCCCGAACTTGGCCCTAATGAGAAAGATTCCCCTGCAACCGTGTGGGCGGGATTTTGGGAGTTTGCTGGGGCAAGCCCTCGGCCCTCGGATTGCAAGTTTGCGCAGGTTGCCAGGGAGATTATCTTGTTGATGGTGCTTTCCTCCTAAAGCACTAGCGGGACCGGCCCGCCTTTTTTCAGACCCCGCCCCCTATGGTTTGAGCCTGCAAACGAAACATGAAATGGAGATCAAAAACAAAGGGTAACCCTTTTTTCCAACCTTGGAACCTTTTTTTTCAACCTTAAGCTCTGTTTCTGACCTTGGTTCCTCTTTTTTTCACCTTGGAAGCTTCTTTTTTAACCCCGGGCGCAAAAGAAAAGCCCAAAGAAAAAGAGGTGGAGGACTCATCATCACCATCATCATCATCATCATCCTCATATCTATTTAAAATAAAAGATAAATCTTGAAATTATTCGTTTTAATCATAATAAGTTCAACATATATATATATATATATATAAATGTATATGTGTATGTATATCGATATTTGTGTATATTCATGATTTCTAAGTTGATTTAAATATAATACTCTCAATTTCAAATCATTATCCAACTATTGTATAAGATTATATGACACTATCATACAGTAATATATGTTTTCACTCTTAAAAATTAGAATTAATATGGATATATATCTATACACATACTTTAACAAAACAATTCCATTGTAATCATGCAATTACCAAAAACAATATACATATATATATATATAATTCTAGAACTTAGTATTATTAGTATTATTATTCAATTATTATTCTTTATTCACACAATACTTCTTCGTCCACAAATATTTTCCAAATAATATACATACATATATAGATATACAGTCTTCGGGCACAAATATACAACCACTATGTATCAAAATAAATTCTTATACAAAACAATATACAAACATTATTCATTCCCCAAACAGCGAAGCGTTGGGGTTCTAACTTGAGGTATAGAGAATGGGAAAGTGCGACGCCGATTCCGGGGTCAGGTGCCAGATGCTGTGACGCCGGCTCCGGGGTCGTGTCTCCCGCTTCTCTTTCTGTGTCTCCCTATCTCTGCGGTCAGATGCCAGATGCTGTGGCGCCGGCTCCGGGGTCGTGTCTCCCGCTTGTCTCCCTGTGTCTCCCAGTCTCTGCGGTCAGATGCCATATGCTGTGACGCCGGCTCCGGGGTCGTGTCTCCCGCTCGTCTCCCTGTCTCCCAGTTACCAGATGCTGTGGCGCTGGCTGCGGGGTTGTGTCTCCCGCTTGTCTCCCTGTGTCTCTGCGGTCGGATGCCAGCTGGCTGCGGGGTCGTGTCTCCCGCTTGTCTTCCTTTTTTTTGCAGTGTCCGCGATCAGATGGTAGATGCTGTGACGCTGGCTCCGGGTCGTGTCTCCCGCTTGTCTCCCTGTGCCTGTGTCTCCCAGTCTCTGCGGTCAGATGCCAGACGCTGGCTCCAGGGTGGTGTCTCCCGCTTCTCCCTCTGTCTCCCAGTCTCTGCAGTCAGATGCCAGATGCTCTTGTTGTGTGTCCCGCTTGGCTCCCTGTGTCCCAGTCTCTGCGGTCAGATGCCTGTGACGCCGGCTCCGGGTTCGTGTCTCCCGCTTGTCTCCCTGTCTCTCAGTCTGTGCAGTCAGATGCCAGATGCTGTGACGCTGGCTGCGGGGTTGTGTCGTGTCTCCCGCTTGTCTCCCTGTGTCCTGCAAGGTCTCTCCGGTCAGATCCCAGACGCTGTGACGCTGGCTGCGGGGTCGTGTCTTGCACTTGTCTCCCTGTGTCTCCCAGTCTCCGCGGTCAGATGCCAGATGCTGTGACGCTGGCTCCAGGTCGTGTCTCCCGCTTGTCTCCCTCTTTCTCCCAGACGCTGGTTCCGGGTCTGCGGTCGGATGCCAGATGCTGGGACGCCGGCTCAGGGGTCGTGTCTCCCGCTTGTCTCCCTGTGTCTCCCAGTCTCTGCGGTTGGCTGTTTGTGCAAAACCAACTGAAGTCTTCTTTGCGAGTTTTGGGGCTGACCTTGCTTGCAGCTGGCTGTTTTCCTGCTTACAGCCCTCAACAGGGAAAATAAAGGTCCCGGGCAAAACCAACTGAACCTGTTTTTTTCTTGACCTGGCTTGCTTGGCATCCAGCAACCGGCGTTCGGCTCCCTTCGGCTCCCTTCGGCTCCCTTCGGCTCCCTTCGGCTCCCGTAGCAGCAGCTCGCAAGCGCAATTGAGAAGCATCAAGCTAGAAACATAGATTCGACAAGTCAGCAGGAACCACTTGCAACAATGCTTCGCAACGGGGAAAGGGCATGTCGCAGATTTTGCTGTTAGCCTGTTTGCAAAGGATGTGCCTCGCTCTTGGCCAAGCGGGCGGTTGCTTGACCCAAGGTGGTGTGAGCTTTTGGTCGTGCTGCACTGGTTGTGCTGGTGTTGGCACTGGAGCTGGCATTGGATCTGCTGCATCTGGAGCTGGCACTGGATCTGCCATTTCAGCTGGCGGCTCGTCTGACACTTCTGTCTTGACAGTTGGTGATGCTCTTGGCTGACTTTGCACTGGTCTTCACACTGATTGGTGATGTTGTGAGTGGTGGTGTGGGTGAGGCATCCTCGATCTCTTCCTTTGGATTGATCAGGGATGCTGGGGCTGCACATGTCTTCTTCTTGTCGCCTGGCTTGGCCTGTGCCACATGGCTTGGAGCGTCAGTTGGCGGAGCGTCTGCTGGGCTTGTTGGCGACTTCACCGGTGGAACCACGCTGGATGAGCCAGTGGTGGCTGATCCTGGCCAATCATCATCTACCATGGCATCCAGTTGGGTCTTCCATTGGCTTGCCATAGCCAGGTACAGTTCGAATTGTTGTCTGGCGTGTGCCATTGGATCTGGCCTGATCTTCTTGGCAGGTGGATCTGTTGGTTCCATGGCGCGCTTCATGGCTGGCGATCCCTGATGGATAATATATCATGTACAATATGGCACGCTAATATTGCATGTATACACTACAATAGGTGTGTACTTGTGTGTGGTTGTGTGGTGTATCACTAGTTGCATGAAATAAATGTAATTGGACTACACATTCAAGATATGGACACATGTGGAAACAATGGTATATTCACATTATGAACCTAATCCATTATATAAACAATTCGAGGTGCAGAATCTGAACATACTGTAAAATACAATCACTTTTAGGTTCAGAATCTGAATCTATTCTATGGTAGATACTATGTTAGGTTGAGAATCTGAATCTAGACTGTGTCTAGACATGAGTTAGGTTCAGAATCTGAACCTAAACTACATGGTTACTTGAATTAGGTTCAGAATCTGAACCTAGACTTTGTTTAGACATGAATTAGGTTCAGATTCTGAATATACTATGTTATGAAATATTGATGTTGATCACATGGTAATGAGTTGTATTTACAGTAACCCACATTGAATTGTATGAGCCTACTTGAATATCACACCAGAATTGAAATGTGTAACACATGACCAGCGTGATTTACTGAAAGTGAAATGTGTTGGTTCCATTGGTGACACCCATTGCAATTTGAGCCACTCCAACACTCACTATGCATCAGACAATTACTCGTATGATCCAACCCAACTGCAGCTGATCAACATGATTGATTACACGATGTAGCCAGATGGCCTGATGTATGTCAGGATTGTGTGCATGACATGCTGGAACGTTGTCGCCACACAGGCTTGACAATTCACAGCGCGCTGCCCACGCCGAAAATGATTCATCACTCATGGTGTTTCCTGATGTAGCCTAAAGGCTTGGCAAGTTAGCTCATGATCATTCAAACAACAAATTGGGGGGAATATGTTGGGCCCGGGTTTCATTTTTTTGTTGCAAGCTGCACAGAGCTACTTTTTGGACTCAGTCATATCTGGCTGTGTCTGTATTGCCAGAAACAAGCTCACTCACATTGGTGGGCAATGTGGCACCAGACAATGTGTACTGCATCACGATAGCCTTGCAGATGGTTCGGGTGGCAATCAACTGGCATTGGTTCACCTCGATGATGTGGCGCCACAACGGCTTCCTCGGTAAGGCCAATGCTTTCTAGGATGCACACACACACACACACGCACACACACACACACCACACTTAAATGTGTAAGGTGCAAATTACTTTTGGGATTGATAAGTACAATCATGCAAGGATCCATGTTTCCCAGCCATTGGACTTGGTCTGGACATACCAGAGTGTTGTGGTTTCCTTGGAATACCATGACTCAGTTCTGGCCCTTTGGCCTGGCATGAGACTGACCTATACAGTTGCTGTGTGTAGCTGCAATGGCTGCTGGTCAATCCAAATAAACACACAACCATGTCATATTTCATGAAAGCAAGCTGCATCGAATTTTTGTAATGTTTCCATAAACTGACTGTCGTACCTTTGTGTTTGCATGTGTGGCCACACATGCTGTGACAATGCCATGTGTAGCCAATAGGCCTGGTATGTGTAGCCAATAGGCCTGACATCA